TGGTTTGGTACGGCTGTTGGATTGTTTGGAAATCAATCGTTTCCTCACTGGAAATAATTAATTAATGATAGCCCATGACTACATCTGATAATTGGGCTGGAAGGAGTGGGCTTCCAAAGAGATCCCCAGAAAACTACGATATGTTTTCCAGCTTGTTTTTATGTTATTCTAAATTATATGTTTTTACTGAGTGGAGGAATGCAAGAGAACCATTTCAGAATAACTTGTGAAGGATTCGTAATTTTAAAAACTCAGTTCTGGAAAAGTTTAAAAAGTACAAAAAGCAGGACAGAAGTTTTTAATTGTATAAAAAGCAGCCATTCTGGAGAGATAAAGCGGGGTAGACATAACATAATAACAACAATAAAGAATGGATAATAATACAACAACAACATTTATTGATTAGCCAGTTGGCCAGTTGGCCTTATCAAATAATAATACACTTTATTTATATTCCGCTTTATCTCCCTGGGGAGATTTAGACCAGATTATAGTACACATAAGGCAAATATTCAATACCTTTTACATGAATGACGACATACATCTCTGGCTTCTGGAGGCGATGCTCAACTCCGGCCATGAGGTGCTCTTCTTCTATTTTCCATGCCAAAGGAGACTGCTGTCCATAGACAACTCTGATCTTTTTGCCAGCATGTCTGAATGGGGTGCCCTTTTATCTTCCTGCTGAGGCAGTACCTATTGATCTACTCACATTGCAAGCTTTCAAACTGCTAGGTTGGCAGAAGCTAGGAATGAACAGTTGGGAGCTCACCTTGACTCGTAACTTTGAACTGCTGACCTTTGGGTCAGCAGCTTTTTCTGCAGCTTGGGGCTTTAACCCTGTTGCTACTGTGGTCATATTATTATTATTATTATTATTATTATTATTATTATTATTATTAGTGTCAGGAGCAACTTGAGAAACTGCAAGTCGGTTCTGGTGTGAGAGAGTTGGCAGTCTGCAAGGACGTTGCCCAGGGGACATTGTCTGGATGTTTTACCATCCTGTGGGAAGCTGGAGCTGACAGACGGGAGCTCATCCCACTCCCCGGATTCAAACTGCCTACCTTTTGGTCAGCAGTTCTTATGGCACAATAGTTTAACCCATTGCGCCACCGGGTTATCCTAAATTATTATTGAAGAATGATGTGAACACTGTGAAGCCTAGTCTTGAAAGAGAAAGGATAAACGGGTGAATATAGCAAACCGAGTCAAAACTGGAACTTTAAAACAACACCTTTATTAATATCTGCAAAGCAAAGCACTGAGAAAACATTTTCAAGACTTAAAAAAAAGGTAGGAAAATACAAGTAAAATATTAATTTCAGAGACTGAAATCCAATTTCACTTCCCTGTTTTCTACATACCTCTCACTGAAATAATAGGGCATTTCTAAAATAAACTCACCCATTGTCACATGATGGTAGGACATCAAAAACTTTAAAGCTTTCTCTGGCACAAAGCTTTGACCAGAGAATGGAAGCAGCGTCTCGCGGCCAAATGTGCTTCTCCCCAGGCTGATTTTTTTCCTTTGCTTGTAATAATTTAGCAATCACTGCCAGTGAGTGCTTCTGTGCAGCTCCTAAAATAATTCATTACCCGGAGCTGAAACATACTACTGTCGGATTATGAGATGGATAGTTCGTGATGGCATGGAAAATTATAATATTCCTTGCTGAGAGGGGAGAAGGAAGCAAGATATGGGGGGCGGGGGATCCAAATTAGTCTTTCTAAAAGAAGAACGAGGGAGGCTGATACATAAAATGTATTCAGAATGGAGATTTGTTTGCTTCAGCGGTTTATAAAGAAAATAACTTAAATGATGTAACTGACGGAACAGCAGATACTATGGGTAATACATACAGAAAGAACAATAAAGCATGTTTTCTTTAAGACAGAGATTTAATGTGACTGACATGGAAAATCTTTGGATCAAGCAGCATCAACTTTCTCAAAGAGCCTTTTCGGGTCCCTTCCCCGCATGTCCACTCTTTAAACAGACAATGAGTTCGAACAGTAACGGTCTGGACAACACTCTCAACATATCCTTCAAGACGTTGCAAGAAATGGCAATATTTTACATACAATTAATATAATATCAAAAATAAGCAAGAATAGATACTCGCTTTTTAATACAGTAGGAAATTCTGACTAATAGGTTAAAAGTGTCATTTGGGTATCGGTCTTACTAACAGACTGCAGGTTTCTATCTTGCATTGTGACACTTACTCTATGCTTTACAGTGCAGGATACACACTTTGTGATTAATGTGCTGGCAGAAACTATATCAAAACTAAAATACTGTAGAGCAAACATTTTAGTTAATTCTATATATGTATGGAAGATATCAGAACTAAGTAAAAGGCTGGAAGCATACATTGGCAAAATCAATAACATCTTTGTCATTTTGCTACCTCCCATTTTTGTGCAAATGTTTAGCTTTGTTTTGCTTGCTGTATTCACTCTTTAAATCATCCATGCTTTCAAAGATTAATAGTATGTTGGTTTTCTGTTCAAATTAAGTGTATGCTAACTTTTAGGATTTGGAGACTAAAATATGGTAATAAGAAACAAGTTGCATATGCCATTTGCAACATGTGACTAGCTCAGTCTGGTTGCAAAAGGGAGACAAGTGTGTTCCTGTGTTGCTCCATGCACTTTCTTACAGCAAATACATTTGATGCATGGCGTGATGAAAGCAAACCTGGATTGAAATTTAAAGAAACAAAACAACTTCCATGCACTGAGATAATAGAATATAATCATGAGCATGAGAAAGTACCCACTATATTATTACCTCAACATCTGATTGGGTTCTCCATACATGATGCAGGTGGAAGGATATCAATGTTACCTTCTTGCATTGCAATGTAGGAACGTTCGGTCGGAACATCCTCAAATGCAAAAGTGAAAAATGCAGGAGCGATCCATAAAGACTAAATTCGGAAGCATAGGAGAAAATAATAAGAAGTCTCTTTCTACATGCCTTGCATTTCACAGAAGAATCGTTTTGAACAGATACATGCATAAATGTGACTGTCATTGCTTGAGAAAACTTCAGCCGATAAAAAGTATTTTTACCACACTTGCAAGCATTTGCAGGGAAATTAAGAAGATGCCCTTCTGTGGTTCTGATACTGCATTGGAAATGTATTTTTAAATCCTTCTTTTACCAAGCACCATAAAGCTTTAGGATATGAGATGTGACACTACCATTTCTGCTGACCCTCCAAATGCATTAATGCTCCTTCAGTGAATGGCTCTTATGTGCAAAAGGCTTAAGCGCCTTAACTTCTTATACAAAAATAGAAAGCTATAAGACACGTTGCCTTAGTAAATGTATTCAATAGTGTTCAGACTCAACAGCCTGGATTGCACACTATTTACAAGTTTCCTATCAACTTGGCAAAGTTATGAAGACTCTTTAAATAAAACAGTGAAGGAACATAGTTGTTCAGCAGATATAAACAGAAGCCTAGCAGCATTCCAGAGAGAATTCAGGAAAACCAGACTTTCAAGGGCAGTGGTTCTCAACATGGGGTCCCCAGATGTTTTTGGCCTACAACTCCCAGAAATCCCAGCCAGTTTACCAGCTGTTAGGATTTCTGGGAGTTGAAGGCCAAAAACATCTGGGGACCCCAGGTTGAGAACCATTGTTCAAGAGGAAAAGGCCACAGATCAGCTCATGCTGCTTCATCAGCTCTAGATCTATATCCCAGTGGCTGGATAATACTGGCTGGATAATAATACTGACAGAACTCAGAAAATGCCATTTTAAAACTGACTTAAATTTAAGTATTGCTAATGGCTTTAGATTAAATAAATAGACACCTTATTTTGGTCTGGTCTGGATGGAACACTGAACCATAAGTCTATTCGGTCGATTACATCAGAAAAGTGTATGAAGAGTCACGCTGATGGGCTTGCAAGAAGAAGGGACATTACCGATGAAGTCCACAAGCTCCTTTGTAATTGAGCAAAAGAATATAAGTGAGTCTTCCTTTGAAATTTCATACAGTATTAATATGGAAAGCGGTAGTAGTCATACCTGCCTGCACTCTAATCTTGCAAGTGGCTGCAGTTGAGTGTAAAAAAAGGTATGAAATACTTAGTCATCACCTGCTGCAGGCATAAGGAGATCATTTTCAGAGAGAAACAATTTCTGTTTCCAGATGCCTTGTCTTTTTTCTCTCTTTTACATTCTTTCGCCACACTTTTCTCCCCTTATTTCCAAATGCAGCCAAACAGACCAACGTGTTTCAAAATCCCACACAGAGTGGACTCATGTGCAACAGAGATCAGAAAATACTATAGTAATTTTGGGCTGAAACCTTCCATTCTCTTTCAAAACAAGAGTATAGGCCAGGCATTGGGCAAACTTGGGCCTCCAGGTGTTTTGGACTGTAACTCCCACCATTCCTAACACTCAGGCCCCTTCCTTTCTCCCCTCAGTCGCTTAAGTGGAAAAGGAAAGGGAAATGGAAAAGGAAGGGGCCTGAGGCTGTGAGGAATTGCGGGAGTTGCAGTCCAAAACACCTGGAGGGAGCGCCCAGTTGGCCCACGCCTGGAGTGCTCCAAGCCGAGTAAGACAGCAGTCCCTTCAAAACAAAGTATCCTCTGAATAGAAGCTCAACTTTTTCAGAAGGATTCTTTCAGGGGGGAAACCATGACAGAACTGGATGTTACCTCATCTCTAGAATACTTCTCTTTTGCACTGAACCACAAGGAGATGGAAGCATTTTAAAACAACAACACATCATCTTGTTTCTCATGGCTCCATTGATATGTTACTTTAGCGACCCTCTGACCCCCCCCCCCCACTCATAGCTCTCATGAAACACATTATAATTTCACTTATTAAAATTTTACATCAGCTCACAACACAGAAGTAACAACTGTAAAATGGAGATAGATGGAGATGGGCTGCAATTCTACTCCTGCCTCAAAGTGCTGCTAAACAAAAACATTCCCAGGATGTGGACAGCTACGGGGAGGGGGGGGGGGGAACCCATCAAGCCTGAAAACTAGCCTGGAAAAAATATTTTTCATGAGGAATTTGTAGCTGAATTCCCTTTCCTTATTCTCTTATACTTCACCTCTAAATTCTGGACACATAGATAGACTCTATTATCAAGCATGTCAGTAACAGCTCCAGCTCTGCTTTAGGCACTGTCAACAGGGTGAAGTGAGTTGGCTTAGGCTTGACTCCCTGCCTAAAACAACACCCAGAATTCCTCTTAGAAGCCAAAGGTATGTGTGTCTCATCAAGATCTTCACAAAAGATCAATATACCCAAATTCAATACGAAAAGATATCTCTTCCTAGAAGGGAAGCCACCAAATCTATTCCCAGTGGCAGAAGGGACTGTTTTAACCAGAATCCGTCGCTCAAGACGGCTTGAAATGTGATTTGGACAAGGCTCCGAGAGGCCAGTCTTTGCGATAACAGGAACGATGGGTGCTCTTCTCTCTCTGTTGCCGCCGTGTTCCCATCCCTGGCCCCTCAGTCCTCTTCGGCCGTCTTGAACATCAGGATGGCATTGTAGATTTTTAAGGCAGGTCCCAGTTTGATACTAAGAATTTTGACAATGTCCGTCTGGTTCAGGAGAAGGAAAGCCTCGCCATCGATCTGCTAAAAGACAGAAGCAGTGAAAAGTCAGTCTTGTTTGATGGCTGAGGCAATGCCATAAAGGATAAAACACTCAAACTGACAATTATCACCACATCCAGGGACACACTTTTTTCCTTTGGTAGTTTCAAAGATGCTGCCTTTCAATAGGATGTGAAGGGATCTTGTAGAACAGTCCTGGGCAACCTTTGGCTCTCCGTCCAGGTGTTTTGGACTCCAACTCCCACAATTTCTAACAGCCTACTGACTTAGGAATTGTGGGAGTTGGGGTCCAAAACACCTGGACGGAGAGCCGAAGTATGCTTATGCATGGCCTATAGCAGTGGTTCTCAACCTGGGGTCCCCAGAAGCTTTTGGCTTTCAACTCCCAGAAATCCTAAAAGCTGGTAAACTGGCTGGGATTTTTGGGAGTTGTAGGCCAAAAACATCTGGGGACCCCAGGTTGAGAACCACTGGCCTATAGCATGACCTCAGCTGGGAGCTGTATGCAACCATTAGTAGGATTCTGCCATTCCCTGTGATAAATTAAGCCTTAGAGTACAGGCCTTGCTCAATTTTTTGAAGTTCCCGGGAACGCTATTGAAATCAATCCCATGAGTGTGGCAGATGAGATTCTCCTGGAGGATTAGGCTGATACACCATGAATTTGGCAGAGCATTTAGGAGACATGTAAGTCGATGTCGCCAATATCAATGGGTTTGTGACATAGTGTGGTGCTTATATGACCATTGTGTGTAGCTAGCTGTGTAGTGGGGTGTCCAGAAAGTCAAATTGCTCTGTGGATACATCTATGGGTTCTTTGCATTTTGCCCAACAGCTAAGAATCAATACTGCTTCTTTTTCTTTGCAAAAATAAAGAGGGGACAGTCCTCCTGAACAAAAGTGTGTGAATTGTGGGTTCTGGCAGAGATGGCATAATCCAAAAGTTCATATTCTGGCCATAAAAGATAACATGTGTAGAAGAATAACAGTAACAATAATGGGCTCACATTCCTTCATGAATATCAACAACCTCCCCTCCTTTCGTAAGAGCCTGAAGACCTGGTAGTTTAAATAAACCTTTGAGAATGACTCGTTCTAGCTCTGCCCCAGAGACTGTTGAAATTGGCCATATCTTCTTCTACCAATTACCCAGGTCACTCTCTTCTGTTAGGTCCTGGAAATGTACAGCCATAGACTCTACCTAATTTCCCAGGCCCTCTAAAATCGCAGTAGCCCGGCCCAGCCTTTTAAACTGCCTTGATCAGGCATGATTATTTTAAATATATATGCTATTGTGGTTTTAATGCTTATATTGTCTTGCTAATTTTATGTGTATGCCGTTTTTTCTTGTATGTATTGGTTATGTTACTTGGAAACCGCTCTGAGTCCCCTTTATATAAATTAAGTTTTGTTGTTGTTGTTGTTGTTGTTGGCTTGGTGGGTATATATAGCAGGTCTTTTTCTATAGCAGCACTTTTAACTTTGAATATGGTTTAATGGTTTTTAACTGGGAATGTTTTAATACTGTTTATATTTAATTCTGTTTTAATATTTTGAATATTGGTATATTTTAAATTGTAGATGAAGGGTTAGAAGGCAGGATCATCAAGTTTGCAGACGACACCAAATTGGGAGGGATAGCCAATACTCCAGAGGACAGGAGCAGGATTCAAAACGATCTTGACAGATTAGAGAGATGGGCCAAAACTAACAAAATGAAGTTCAACAGTGACAAATGCAAGATACTCCACTTTGGCAGGAAAAAACGAAATGCAAAGATACAGAATGGGGGATGCCTGGCTCGAGAGCAGTACGTGTGAAAAAGATCTTGGAGTCCTCGTGGACAACAAGTTAAACATGAGCCAACAATGTGATGTGGCGGCAAAAAAAGCCAATGGGATTTTGGCCTGCATCAATAGGAGCATAGTGTCTAGATCGAGGGAAGTCATGCTACCCCTCTATTCTGTCTTAGTTAGACCACATCTGGAATATTGTGTCCAATTCTGGGCACCACAATTCAAGAGAGATATTGACAAGCTGGAATGTGTCCAGAGGGAGGGCAATTAAAATGATCAAGGGTCTGGAGAACAAGCCCTATGAGGAGCGGCTTGAAGAGCTGGGCATGTTTAGCCTGAAGAAGAGAAGGCTGAGAGGAGATATGATAGCCATGTATAAATATGTGAGAGGAAGCCACAGGGAGGAGGGAGCAAGCTTGTTTTCTGCTTCCCTGGAGACTAGGACGCGGAACAATGGCTTCAAACTACAAGAGAGGAGATTCCATCTGAACATGAGGAAGAACTTCCTGACTGTGAGAGCCGTTCAGCAGTGGAACTCTTTGCCCCGGAGTGTGGTGGAGGCTCCTTCTTTGGAAGCTTTTAAACAGAGGCTGGATGGCCATCTGTCAGGGGTGATTTGAATGCAATATTCCTGCTTCTTGGCATGGGGTTGGACTGGATGGCCCATGAGGTCTCTTCCAACTCTATGATTCTATGATTCTATGCTAATGCTTGTTAAGCTGCTTTAAGTCTCCTTCAGGACAACAACATAGTGATCTTGTTTGCTGTGTATCAATCTTGTTGTGTATCAAATAACAACAACAGACTGTGGAACTCTCTGCCCAGGGAAATTAGCCCTGCCCACATTTTTGAGCTTCTGGTGAGTAATCAAAATGGTGTATGTCTGTATGGCATTCAATGCTTGAAACTACTGTTTTAATTGTAAATCAGATTCCAGGATTGTTTCCTGACTGCTTTTAGAAGTTTTAAAAAAAGTATTTCAGTTTGTAAAGAAATGTTTTTTAGCTTTTTATTGCTTTTTATCTGTTTGTTGCAACAGGGGCCTTGTGGGCTGAAAGGAAATACAACACATACAATCAACCAACCAACCAACCAATCAATCAATCCACTCTAAGACTGCAGATATTAAACTGGTTACAATGGGTTAAGCAGGACCACCTATCAACATATTTTTTAAGATGCTACTTCAAGTGTTCCATTTACAAAGGGGTACTGAGCGAATGGAAAATGTGGTGAAAGTTCACTGTGCACAAATTTATATAAAATTCTAAATAAAAACACCAGCACCATTGTCCAATAGAGATCCAGTTGGGATTGACTGCAGCTGAAATATACTGAAGTTGAAGTGCTTAATAGCCACCGCCACTTGAAGGCTTAACGGGGATTAAAGCTTTGCTGAAGTCAACAATAAGTCTGACATGTATTAAAAAGTTGGCATTTAGCAACTAGCTAAATAGAATGCTCATGTAGGCAGGGCAGCAGGGCAGCAAAGTTCTGTTTTCACATCGTATTTTGCAAACTCAACTTTCCCAGCGACTTGGTTTCCAGAAATGGGAAGAATGCGTAACCAAGTCGCTTCCATAGACAAAGGGGTTGCAAAGCGTTTTAATCTTAAAAATGCTTTAGGTGAAGGTGGAAGCGCAGGTCCCAGCAGCCATTGTCAACAAAAAAAATCATTCCAACATCTCAGAGGCCACAGGGTCTTCATCCCTGTTTTCAGTGTTCAAAATACATGCTATATGGCACCGGCCCAGCGTACCTGTCTCCTTCTACGTCTTGCCTAGGAATTTAAGATCTTCTGGAGGGGCCCTGCTCTCGACCCCGCCCTTGTCACAGATGAGATTGGCGGGGACAAGGGACAGGGCTTTCTCGGTGGTGGCCCCCCGCCTGTGGAATTCACTCCCTGGGGAAATTAGAGGAGAGAGGAGGGAAATCGTCATCCCTCCTCTCTTTCAGAAGGAAATTAAAAACATGGATGTGGGACCAGGCCTTTGGGTAATCTGGCAGACTGTCAAGGACAATGACGACTAAAGCTTTGTAAACGGACTATGATAAACGGAATGAATTTATTAATTATGGACTTGGCGAAACGATGGCCACCAGGCTGGCTTTTTATTGTATTAATGTAATGTTTTAACTGTTTATAATTATTGTTACTATGTATTTTATTGTGTTGAATTGTAGGCATCGAACGTATGCCAGCTGGAAGCCGCCCTGAGTCCCCCTTAGGGAGTTGAGAAGGGCGGGGTAAAAGTACCCGAAATAATAATAATAATAATAATAATAATAATAATAATAAAACCTAATGCCATTCATACTGATAAAATACTACAGGCAGGTTTTTGGATTTTGACGTGTAATCTTTAATTCACTTCCATTCTGTTAACCAGGAAGACCAACTATTTTAGAAGGACCACTTCAGAATATGATCCAAGCATCAAACTTTATTCAGCTTCCTTGCGGTCTGGTCTGTTTCTCCTGTTTCCTTTTGACACTTTCAAATCCATTGAAGTCCAATGTTCAAATCGCGATGTTCCACTGACTCTTAAACTGAAAACATGGCTCAACTTTTCTTCATTTCTGCTCACTGACTAGTTCCCCTGCGAGACTTATACAGAGAGAGAGCCGACTTACCTCTTGTCGGAAGAGAGCGGCCTGATCCTTACAGCCAGGCAAGCGCTGGATAAAACTAGCCACCTAGACAATATGAGAAACAAAAGAGGGGAATGTCAAAGGAATGATCGGAAATATAGCTATAAATATACCATCCCCCCATTTAGACAATATGTTTATTTTGTTTTAAATGTGTCTCTATTTGGCTATCTATTTGTATTATTCCAGAACTAAGAAAGACATCAAGAGTAAACACAGTAATTGTCTCCAGGACACAGATTTAACAGAGATCAAATGCAGGAAAGAAAGATGCTAACTAAAGAAAATAATCCCAATGCTTAGCTGGTGTAATGGATTTAACCCTTTGACTGTAAATCCTAAATAATTTAAAAGGTCAATGTAGAAAGTGATGAAAGACTTCCTCTGAAACGTTGCTTGAATCTAAATGTGATGTGCAACAAGTAAGGTAAAGGTAAAGGTTTCCCCTGACATTAAGTCTAGTCATGTCCGACTTTGGGACTCTGGTGCTCATCTCCATTTCTAAGCCAAAGAGTCGGCATTGTCCATAGACGCCTCCAAGATCATGTGGTCACTGGCATGGCTGCATGGAGCACTGTTACCTTCCCGCAGAAGAGGTACCTATTGATCTACTCACATTTGCATGTTTTCAAACTGCTAGGTTGGCAGAAGCTGGGCTTAACAGCAGGAGCTCCCCCTGCTCCCCAGATTTGAACTGCTGACCTTCCGGTCAGTAAGTTCTACAGATTAGTGGTTTAACCTGCTGCACCACTGCGGCCCCAATGTAGTAGTAGTAGTAGTAATAATAATAATAATACTTTATTTATATCTGGCCACCATCTCCCAAAAGGGACTTGGGGAAGCATACAAAAGCACATAGCAGTGCAACAGAAGACACAAGGTACAGTAAAATACATATAACAGTGTCAATTTACACAAACAATATATATAAAAACAGCACACAAACCCCTTCTAGTTTAAATAAACATAATAAAACGCAGGAATAGTTGCGGATTAAAATATGGCCGTATCAATGTCAGTCACATAAAGTGCAGGAGTCAAACAATTTGCTTGGTCCTCAACTATTAACTGATGTTACAAAGCATTGTAAAAAGTATATTTGTATATTTCCAGAACAGGATTAGTAACACCTTATGATAATGTCTCCATACATATTAAATGTCATTTGCAGCTGATACGAAATTTGGCATAAATAAATAGATACAAGACAGACAAGTATGTGATACTAAAGGAAGAGAACACTTCATTGGGCTCAGCTCGAACTGTACAAGCATTACACTATGTCACATGATTTTTGTTCCTGGTTTATAAAGGTCATTTATTTATTTTTATTTATTCTTTATTGGTTTATGTATTAAGGTAAAACAGGTAGGGAAAAAAGAAAAAGAGAGAAAAGGAAAAAAAGGGGGGGTTACAAAGAAAGTGTGGGAACAAATGTCTTAAAGGAAAGTGTCTATAGAGTTTAAAGGGGGTGAATTAAAAAAGTTCGGACTTCCAATCTTCTATCCTTCCGTAGTCCTTTCTTAAGTGTTTCTTTGCCTCAGTCGGCAATTGTTGATGTTTTTCCTTTGTCTGCTCCTGATTGTTATAGTTCAGGATTTATTTATCCTCCCCCCCCCCTTTATTTTAAATATTCCTCAAAGTTTGACCAATCTGTTTGACTCATAGGTCTGCCAGTGTTCCTTTCTAGCAAATAGGTTAATGTGTCCATATCCTTTATTTCCAGTGTTTTGTCCAGCCATTCCTCTTTTGTGGGGATGGTCTCTATCTTCCAATATTTGGCGAACGTTATTTTAGCCGCGGTGGTGCAAAAAATGAAAAGTTTCTCCATATTTGGTTCTGGTTACTGGGCACTTTCGGTTAGCCCTAGTAGGTACAGTACAGGCTTCATTAGGAATTTGATTTTTAATATCTTCTGGATGTCTTCATGTATCATTTTCCAGAACTGAATTGTTTTGTTACAGCTCCACCACATATGGTAGAAGGAGCCTGTGCATATTTTATATTTCCAGCACTTGTTCTCTCTGTTTTTGTACATTTTCCCCAGTTTTACTGGTGTTATATACCACCTATGGTTCATTTTCAGATAATTTCCCTTCATGGCTATGGTGTATGTATATCTTAATTTCTTTGTCCAGATGTTCTGCCATTCTTCAAGTTTTATTGGCCTGCCTATGTTTCTTGCCCACTTGATCATTGAACTTTTTATTTCTTCGGTCTCAGTTGCCCAGTCTATTCATCTGTTATATATTTTGGTTATTATTTTTCCCCCTGAGTCCTTTAGTTTGCACCAGAAGTCATCCTTTGGGCTGGTGTTTTTATCTCCTTCGTTTAACTTGAAGGTATTGAAACCATCCCACATTTTATAAGTTTTAGATATTACCTCTTGTGGTTTTAGCTCTAATTCGTTCTTTGCATTTTTATATAGTAGATTCTTGTATACAGGCCATTCAGTCCACCCTAGGAGTCTTCTTTGGTTGGCCTCAATTGGCGACAGCCACATTGGAGTTTTGGTGTAGAAATAGTCTTTGTATTTGTTCCAGATCTTCATTAGGGAAGATCTAACAAAATGGTTTCCAAAGTTCTTTTCCACTCTATATTTCCCATACCATATGTAGGCATGCCATCCCCGCCTCAGATCATGCCCATCTAGGGTTAGGGTTTTGATGTTCTTTAGCTCAATCCAATCTTTGACCCAAGACCACGCTGTGGCTTCATGGTAGATTTTTAGGTCAGGTAAGTTTATTAAATTGCAAAAACTCTGTTGTTGCAGGACATCCTGCAGCACATTTTACTGTAGATTTTCAATGAATATCTCATAAAGGATGGTTCCAGACAGTGGTAAAGTCTGCGCCGACCTGGGTTGAAAAAACCTGGGTTGGGACAGACTGTAGTCTGCACACCAGCCTGGAAAATGCGTAGTTTTGAGGCTGGGTGTCCAGATGCCCTCCCTGAAACTTCTGGGGGGACAGTGAGACACTCAGACCCCTCCCCTCAAATCCCCCCAAACTCCTGGCGCTTAGGAATGATGCATCAGGAGGAGAGGGAGCCAAGAGCAATTTTCCTCCTCATGCCTTCTCCTGGTGCATCATTCCTAAGTGCCAGGAGAGCTCAGGCACCACGCTAATGGCAGCCGGATAAGTTCTTTTATTTTTCAAAGGGTTTTTTTTTGGGGGGGGGGGCATGGAAAGGGCGTTGGAGCCCTCTCGGATATTCTGGCCTCATGAAGGCTGGGAAATGTAAGAGGAATGTGCGGGTGGTCCCAGGACTTCTGAGGGGGCAGTCCAGACTCCGCCCACAGTGGGAAGACACAGGTCTTTCAATAAGGCTCATGTCTTTCCTGCTTACAAATCATCTCGGCACTAAGCAGGGTTTTCTCCTTTGTGCTGAATGCACTTGCATTTACGTAAGGCATCATCTGGACGTCCCCATGGAAAAACACGGGAGGGTGTGTGTTTTAGGGCCTGTCTGGATGGGCCCAGAGTCTCAACCAATTCAACCTAGTTTATGGTACAAAAATGAAGATTCTCAAGTTTATTTATTTATTGTGTCAGGAGCAAATCAAACAGTTGTATTGCATTTTTAACAAACAAACAAACAAAACACAAAGTTTGCAAGCTTGGTAGTTGTTTAAATGTCCTTTGACCAGTAGCTGGCCACTTGGAGTGCCTCTGGTGTTGCTGCAAAAAGGTCCTCCATTGTGCATGTAGCAGGGCTCAGGTTGCATTGCACCAGGTGGTCTGCAGTTTGCTCTTCTCCACCCTCGCATGTCATGGATTCCACTTTGTAGCCCCATTTCTTAAGGTTGGCTCTGCATCCCGTGGTGCCAGAGCGCAGTCTGTTCAGCACCTTCCAAGTCGTCCAGTTTTCTGTGTGCCCAGGGAGAGTCTCTCATTTGGTATCAGCCAATGATTGAGGTTCTGGGTTTGAGCCTGCTACTTTTGGACTCTCAATTGCTGAGGTGTTCCAGCGAGTGTCTCTGTAAATCTTAGAAAACTATTTCTTGATTTAAGTCGTTGATGTGCTGGCTGATACCCAAACAGGGGATGAGCTGGAGATGTCACTGCCTTGGTCCTTTCACTATCGGCTGCTACTTCCCAGCGGATGTCAAGTGGTGCAATACCGGCTAGACAGTGTAATTTCTCCAGTGGTGTAGGGTGCAGACATCCCATGATAATGAAGTATGTCTCATTAAGAGCCATGTGTACTGTTTTAGCGTGGTGAGATGTGTTCCACACTGGGTATGCATACTCAGCAGCAGAGTAGCATAGCGCAAGGGCAGATGTCTTCACTGTGTCTGGTTGTGATCCCCAGGTTGTGCCAGTCAGCTTTTATATGATATTATTCTAACACCCACTATTTGTTTGATATTCGGGCAGTGCTTCTTGTAGGTCAGAGCACGGTCCAGAGTGACTCCCAGGTATTTGGGTGTGCTGCAATGCGCCAATGGGATTCCTTCCCAGATAATCCTCAGAGCTTGGGTGAAAAGCACATGTCTGTGTTTTAGATGGATTAGGAGTCAGCTGGTTTTTCCTGTAATAGGCAGTAAGAGCACCTAGAGCTTTGGAGAGCTTCTGTTCAACCATCTCAAAGCTCAAAGTAGTTTCTCAAGTAGAACAACTATTTTCAAAGTAAGGACTGCACAATTAAATAGGAAACAGCAGCCGAGGAACAGAAAAAATAATTTTTTCTTACATATTATTATTATTATTATTATTATTATTATTATTATTATTATTTGCTCCTTTTTCTCTCTTAACAGACTCAAAGCAGCAAATAGTGCTAAAAACAATATAACATACAATATAAAACCTAAAGACTATAAACCCTAAAATGGAATTAAACCAAGCATTATTTAAAATTAGTATTTGAAATTATTAAATCTATATATATATAAATGCTCTGTGCATAATGAGTACCATAAGAACAAAAGAACCAATGAACGAAATCACACCAAATTTGGCAACAAAACATCTCACAACACAAGGAGTGACCATCACTCAAAAATTATGATTTTGTCATTTGGGAGTTATAGTTGCTGGGAT